CTTCATCATCATCATCGCCATCCTCATCATCGTCATCATTATCAAGAGCATCACGACATGGAATCACATCTAAAACCATTTCTGTAATTAATACATGCACTTCTGTACTACTACTACTACTACTACTGCTACTACTACTAGTTCTGCCTAAACTGCTACAGCTGCTGCTGCTGCTACTACTACTACTACTAATACTACCACACAAAACTACTACCAAATAGTAGAAGTATTATTTTAATACAGTATTTTCAGTACTTTTATTTAATACTGTAACTACTACCATTACAAGCACCTACTACTACTACTACTACAACTACTACTACTACCGCTTCTACTACAACTGCTGCTGCTACTATTAAAACTATTCATGCAGTTTTCTAAACTACCAATATTATATTACCATTCTGCTAATATTGACAATATAAATAGTCATCACTATTACCATCATTATAAACAATATCACATACATACATGCACAAACACACACATGCATGTATAAACACATATACATACACACATACCCACTTGCATACAGAACATACATACATACAAAAAAGGCACAAATCTAATCTGAAGCTATTAGATTATTTATTTATTTATTCATTCAACCACTTTTCCATCCATCCATCCATCCATCAGTTCATTTATCCATTCAATTCTACTATGGTCTAGTTTTGTTTGTGTATATATGTATGTATGTATGTATGTATGTATGTATGTATGTATGTATGTATGTATGTATGTATGTATGTATGTATGTATGTATGTATGTATGTATGTATGTGTATGTAAATTTAAAAAAGTAAATATCAATTAAACAAAAATCAGGAAGCTTACATATTAGCACACATGCAATCTGAAATAATGGCATAAGTGTTTGTTGCCATAGTTATTATTACTACTATAATATTATGATTATATTATGATTATTATTATATTATTATTATTCGTGATATGATATAATTATATAAACTAAAATTATAATAAAAATAAACTAAAAATAAGAAAAAAACAGGTAAAAATTCCCTAACCAACAAACTCCATAGAGATAGTATTT